AGCCACCTTGAGATGAAAAAAAGCAAATTTAGCTTTCCTTATAAAGGGCCAGTTTGTCCTTTCCCACTGCTAGGCTTCTCTTTATGTCACAGCCACCATAAGAAACACCCAAAGGTGGTTGTTACCTACTAGATTTCTTGTTAGGAGAGACTTGTGCCGTCTGTGAAGTGTTGACAGGACTCAAAGCAAAGCTGCAGAATGATAATACATAATGATGTGTTGGTTCTGAGAGCTTTCTATGTGGTTGACCCAGGCAAAGACCACATTTCAGTTGTTTGTACTTCTTCAAAGAAGTGTGTGAAATACTCCAAAAATTCACCTGCAAATCTCTGTAAGAAAGTTGCTACACATAATGTTACAGCATCTCTATTAAGAATTTAGGCCTACTTGTATTAAGCAATGATATATGCATAATTAAACATAACTTATGGAGACAGTGGTATAAAAATATGACAAGAATTAAAATAAGAAAATATGAGCAAGGCTGTGTGGATTGAATTTTTGAGTTGCAAATTGCCATTGCTGGACTCACTGTAATAAAGTCCAAGACAATTTGTTAAATGTAAATATATGAAAACATGAAACTTAAGTGTGCAAGCTGGATGTGGATAGGTAACAGAAAAAAAACCCTAAGATACATTAAATGAAATGAGATGATGGAGCTGGCCTGTATTGTCTCTTCTAATCTGCCCTTTTTGTTGTCCTCACTGTGTAATTTACACCATGTATAATTTTCTTCGTTCCAAATCAGCAGCTTGCTGCTTTACCTGGGACAAAGGGAAGGTTCTGTGGCTGCCACATCTTTGTAGTAGGAATGGCACTCATTCTGTGACTGCCTGAGCAGGAGAATGGTCACATCTATTCTGTCTTACAAGTGATTCACACAAATGTAAACACACATGCCAAAAGCCATTGCAAATACAAGAATAAATGGCACCAGCCAGACTGATCCTTACTCTTTGTTGAATCTTAAAAAAAAAAAAAAAGGATGGAAAGAGGAAATTGGGAGTACTATTTGCTCTTTAAAGAAACAACCAAACACTAGATAATTATATTCTCTGACAAAGCTGTACTTCAGGAATTACTCTTTTTAAAACTTCCCCAGCATAATGTGAAGGCTGTGTATCTGTAGATCTTGACCCAACAGGCAGAGTCAAATTCATTGAGTTCATCCTAAGCACTGCATTCTGCAGAATATCAAATAGAATTCTAGATTTCATTATTAATAAAGAATATCATACACTCTAACCCCAGAAAAACAACATTTAGTTTCTTGGTTATGGGATCTCAGCAGGCTTTGCTTGTGACAAGAGTAAAAGTTATTTTCTCTTGATGTTATGTTTCTTTAACAAATGTTGTAAAAATGTCTTTAAGAACCTAAAAGGTCATTTGAAAGTCTTATTTTTATTGTCATTGCCTCCAAAATACATTCCATAACTCAGTTTAATATGATCTGCAGCAGGCCAAGAGTTTTACAAGCCAAGATATTATGTCTAGTCCAGTTAGAAACATGACAAAGTTCAGTGAAGCAGGGAAAGTGAAGACCTAGATTGAGAAATGTAATTTTGCGTTGTCTATGAAACATGGAAGGAAAATATCTCCCTGCACTCAGTTTTGATGACAGAGCATGTTCATGACCTAAGGTAGAGGAACCCTACCGAGCTTTATGAGGAAACAGACAAATGACTGCGGACATGTGTGGAACAGAATGTCAAGACCAGCTTCATCCACCTCCCACAGCAGTTTTTGCTCCTGTACATAACTCAGCCTTCTGGTTTCATCACCCACAAGCCTTTATATTCAACAAGTCAGTGCGGAGAATAGTGGGGCTGGAACTTGTGTTACTATGTATGCTGCACCCATCCACTCTGTCTTCAGATGAGGAAATGTACTGTTACTTGTGCATAGTAGATACAATCTTTATACAAAAAGACACTTTATTAAACTACTTTCATCTTCCTAAGTACATAATACTTCGAACACTAAGTGGCTTCATTTGTGTCAGACTGGCCTATTGCATTATAGGGTTAAAAATTCCCTCATTTGAGACTGGACCATGGTTCTGTCAGCTGTTATCCTTCCAGTTGCCTATTGATGGTGGACAGCTTTAATCTAGCCAGTAGCCACAGTAATTGCAGTATTTGGCCCCACATGCTTAGTTTATACAAGTCAGCAGCCATCAGTTTTTATGGAAATCATTCTGTCACTGAAAATATTCTTCACATCTTTGCTTTTTATTATTTTCATTACAATCTCATTATGACCACCAAATTTCTTCATTGTTTGGAGCTCTTTATTTTTTAACTCTTTTTTTTTTTCCTTTTTTCCCTGCTGGAAACTTCCTGCTTAATACCTAAAGTTGCTGTAATATTTTAAAATTTGCTTTTCCTAGTAAACTAGTAATTCTCTTACTCAGGCTGATGGAGGAATTTAAACAACTGTGTTCTGCTTGGTGGAATTTACAGAGGCACTCATTGTCCTTTCAGTAGTTAGAGTCTCAACTCAATTATTTGTGCAGTAGCAGTTGTACTGGCCTAAAGAAGGTTGTTCCAGATTTATCTTATCATAAATAAGAGCAGAATTATGCTAAGTCCAATACCTAACCAGTGTTAGCAGAGTACATCAGTTCCTGTGAAATGTTTACAAACAGGAATAACAATTTGTTCTCTTCCCATCTGAAGAGAAAAGAATAGTTTTGTTTTACAGTAGTTACTGTGCTCAGTTTGAAAATGTGAGTGAGTGAGTGAGTGAGTGAGTGAGTGAGTGACTGACTGACTGACTGACTGACTGACTGACTGTGGTTTGAGAGAGTAGGGGATATGTGTGAGAGCAGTCCTGAATGCATTTGGATTGACACTTCCACAGAAGTGTCTAAAATGTGGAAATTCGCTCCACATTTGGTTTTCCAGTTCACTTTTCCACCAGGAAAAGGAAGATGAAATGTCATCTAGACGGCCACCCTGGGGATGTGGCCATCAGGGATGCAGGGAAAGTTTGGTCCCCTGCATTTCTCAGCATGACACTGTTTTCTTGTGGCCAAACAAGCTATGGTCTATGTTTGGCTGTTGATGTCACAGAAGGTAAAGAAAAAAGCATTCAGGGGAGAGGCAGTGCAGCCAAGTGAAGCAAGTGAAATACATAGGGAAATCTTCGGGTTTAATATGGCAGAAATGTTTCTACTGCAGCTTTCTTGGATTTTTTCTTCAACTCCATTCCTGATACAGTTCATTTTGATAGAGAAATAAACATTTGGTGATTCCCCAAGACCTTAAGATCCTAAGGCATTCCACAGCATATGTCTAGAAATTACCACTTGACACCGTGGATATTTTGGATATCAAATCTGAGAAGGCAGAAAGAGTGTCAATGATGAGAACTGAGTCAAAAGTCCTGTTGTCTATTCTTAAACAAGGAGACCAGAGCATTTCCTGTAGTTTATTTCTCTCCTGGTAGTACTGGTCTTTCTTAAACTTAGCTTTGTCAGTTTCATTTAAACTTGCAGTGCTTTAACCTAAGTATTGGTAAACTTGGGAGATGTTGCTGATCAGTATTGTAGGAAAAACTGGGAATCCTAAAAAGCTGTCATTCAGACCCCTGGATGGTGTTTAATAATACAAATAATCTAGGAGAAAGGAGTGAGTGTTGAAAAAAGTTTTCAAGTAAGGGTTTGGTAATGGAGGAAATAGAAATGTGGCATTTCCAGCTCATTTGATTAACCTCAGTATCTGATGAAAGTTGTTTCACAACCAAAAATAGATCCCATTCATTCAACCTGCATGAATCAAATGTTCAGATATGCCATAATCTTCCTTTATCTTATCCCCTTGTTGTCTATGCCAATCCATTCCCTTCTCTCACTCCTGCTCAACCCATGAGTGTGACCACCCAGTTTCAGTTACATGGACTGAATATCTCAGTAAATGAAAGGTCTTAATTGTGCTAAATTATGCAAGAACTCCTTGACCACTCTTTGCAATTGGTTTCTCTAGGATTAGTTTCCTCTAGAGTTCACTGTTTCTAGGCTCCAAATATATTCTGTTCAGTATTAAGTCACTGTTTATGCTTTGCATGAAGCTTTAACTTCTCAATGTGCATTTTGTACTTGAGGAACATTAAAATGTGAACACCCCACTTGTGTCTTTAATTCACCTGAAAATCAAAGCACCAGTAAAACTAGGAGGACACTGATGCTCACTGTGTGCAGTCACACAGTCACTTGTTTCTGAATAAAAAAGGCAATCACAAATTTTAAAACTCTTGTCAGGGCTAGTGTTCAGAACACTCTATGGAAAATTAAGAAACAAATTTCTCAGTGGCTTTGATTGGCTTAGATTTATCATTTAAATTCAGCTAAAATGCTACAGACTACCAATAGGAAAGATTATACAAGTGGCATTAGGATAGGGGAACATTACAAAAGAAAGGGGACCATGTATGAAAACAGTAGTTTTAATTATTTTAATCAACTATAAAGTAGTCAATTTTATAGTCTTTTAACTTTGGGAGGGGAGGGTTTTACAAATCTCAAAGGTTTTAGATAGATAGATACATTAATCCCTATAAAGATCCCAAAGCCATTTTAAAAAATTCTTATGAATTATAAAATAATAGGGCAGATGATACTTTCTATGGACTGAAAATCAACTGATACAATTTCAGAGAAAAAAAAAAACTCTTCAAAAGCTGGGGTGATTTTCCTTAAAATTTCTTGTTGACTAAATGTCAGAAACGACAAATGTATTTTTGCCTGATTGTTTGGAGTTGCTGTTGATGCTCCAGTGAGTTTGCCATAGGGCATTGCTCAATGTTTCTGAACTTGAGGCCCTAAATAGATAGCAACTTTTGATTTGATTGAGCTTGCATGTTAACAGGGGTTTTTGCAGCTGAAAGTCTTGTGTAATTATTGATTCTAATTGTTTGCATTTTCTTTGTTGTTTTTTGTTTTGTTTTTTTGGTGTTTTTCTTTTTTTGGCCTGCTTTTGGAATCCATGACTGTGCAGTGAGAAGGACACTAAAGAGTGGGCTAACACCAGAAGAAGCCAAAGCACTGGGCCTCATCAGCACTTCTGAGATGCAGGTTTGACATCCCAGAGGTGGCAACAAGAAGAGCCGATTATCTGAAGCACACAGGCTGACAACCCTTCAGCACGGCCTTGAACTGCCAGCCTCCTCTGCTGCTCCCAACATCCTATCCTCTGTTAGTTCAATTTTAATAAGCAACAAAATGCAAAACCCCACATCCAGGGCAGAGGAAGGGTGTGCCACAGCTCAGCATGACATCCAGATGGTAACTGAGGAAGCATTTGAGTGTTCCTAAGTGAAAGCACATGGCTTCTTCTTCTCATGGCGTGTTGATGTGGGTAGGAGGGGGCTCTCTAGGTTATATGTCATTATGTGAGCTGTGTTTACGTTGGCTTTCCTTGTGCCCTGTTTTAGTCATTGTAAATGTGTGGCATTTTGTCAATGCAAGGAACAGTCCTTAGAGAGGCAAAATAACTCCTGTTACAGCAACCCAAATTTTCCTCAAGCAGATTCATTAAGCAAAGATACACAATCTGTGCAACCCTGTGGTTTGTTGGGTATTCTATTATTTTGCCTCCAAAGAATGTAAAAATATATGTGTACCTTTGTATATGTACAGAATGAATGTGTGGACATGTGTGCATGTATCTGTACATATACAGTCATGGTGTGAAATCATGCTTTTGCTGAAGCCAGCTGGACCATGATTTTCACTGTGGGGCCTTACTGTTCCACCTGGACAGGAGGAAAAGAATGTCTTTTTCGCAGGAACTCAGTGTTGTTCAGTGTGATTCACCCTGTGGGGCAGGCCATGGCCTGCAATACAAGTGGAGAGTTTAGGATCCTGAATTCATGTGCATTAATGCACACTCATACTGTGCATAGCAGCATGCACACAGAGGAGAGAACACAGTTCCTCCTTTTTGTTGAGCTATGGTTGTACTTTGCATTTGTACAGTTTCGGAGAGATCTACATCAACAATTTTACATACTCCATAAATGCATTTGGATGCTAAGATCAAGAAGTTTTGTTCACTTGCCTGTGCCCTTCATGCTGCTTTTCTCTGCTGCAAGACGATGTGGTGGTGATTTTATTTCAATTCAATGAATCTGAATATGAAATAGCTCTGCTAAAAAGCCTGCTGTGTTTTTGCTATTCTTTACTGGTTTTCTGTGATTATCCTTGATACCAGTGGAGTGGGTACCACAATAAACAGCTCCAATATGTTTGCCCTTATCTCACAGTTTTATAACTGACTTTTATAACTGCCCTCAGCATGTTGGAAGAACATTTAGTTAACTCATCTGCCTTTAAGTGGAGGACATATACAGCAGTGAAGATGAACTGAACAGTCACCCTAGCCAGTGCTGAAGTATTTTAAAGAGAACTGCAAACAACAATAACATAAAGGGAACTCTTTAAGCGAAAGTCTGTATATGTCCAATAGATCCTAAAGGATGCACAAGATTGTCTCTTTCCATTGCCTTAGCCTCTAAGATTAAGGGTATGTCTGCATAGCAGTAACAACTGAGACTTTCTTTAAGCTGGTTAACTGCAGCAGTTTAGTAATGGTAGCAGGGTTCCATTTTGGCTGCAAAACACACTTGGAAAATAGAGTCAACTAATAGTCTATGCTGGGGTCCTAATGCCATAGCAATGTTGCTTCTGGCACCCAGGCTAGGTCAGGTACTTCAAGTTATTCTACTCTGCTCTCTTTAAGGACAGGATAATCACTGAAGATTGTTCAAGAGAGTTAAACCAAACACAATAAACCTCTGAAACCATGGTCATCCATCACATGCATTGAGCACAGCATCCAAGTGATGACAGAGCCAGGGAGCTGGCAACACTGCAGTGAGACCTGTGGCTGAACACCCTAACTATGCTGTCTACCGTCTTGATTGTAACATTTCATTCTTTATCTGCCAATGCCTTGGATCTGCCATGGAATAAAAAGTCACTAATGAGCAATGGTTCTTAAGAACAGCATTGAGTTTGATGTGGTTTTCCTCTCAGTTTGTTAAAAAGCTGATTTTACAAGTAGACAGAAGGCATTAGTTGGGTAATCAATATAAGATATTGTGTATTTGAAGGCTGTGGAAAGGAAGAAGCTGACTAGGAAACAGAAATGGCATATAACTAATTTCACTGAAAAATAGGCAAGACCTATGAGCATCTAAATTTGAAAGGGGATCTTTATGTGCTGCTCACCACTATGAACTTTTAAAATCTTGCTTAAGTATGCTTAGAACAAAGAACTGAAGGTAATGGGGGTTCGTGGAGGTGTTTGAAGTCTGAAACAAGAGGAAGACACCCTGAATGTAAATGGTCATGTTGAACTGCGCTACTTGTTAGGTGATAAAAAAAGCAAAAACACAACAAAGTACATTTATGCTGTCAGAGATCCTATATTTGTTTGGAGGGAGAAAATCAAACAAGTCTTTAAAAATTAATATTTTAATTAAAATATGCTGAATGTGCAAAATTGGTGACCACTTGGCTGTTAGTGGCCACTTTCTAACAGGGAACAAATTTGTGTTTCATTTAAGCATAGTACAGCATCTGTCTCTGAAACATAACATAGCTGGTGAATTTGGGCATATGTATTTTCCAAATTGTGCAAAAATTTTGCAAAACTTTATATGTTCCTTATCAAGGAGAACATTAAATATGGGGAATAATATAAGTTGGAGTAAGTTCAGTGGAAAAAAAGGTGGTTTCTTTCATATTCTCTGGATGTTACATGTGAAGCAAATTCTTCCTTTTCTGTTCTTCCATGGCATTTTTTTATGCTCTTTATCTGTAAAACTGATAGCAGCTTTTCTGAGGAATAACTTGGTGTTGTTTATGCACTAGTATACTGTCAGATAAATTCCACTGTCCTCACCGTTCACTGCAATAAGATCATCAGACACAGTATAGCACAGTAACTACAGGAGAGATTTCCATTTCGGTTCCTGATAAAAATTATCAACTAATCTGTAAGGGGACAGTATTTCCTCCAGAGTGCCAGCATGCCCTGACTGTGGGAATAACATTCATCTAACTAGTGAATTCCAGATGAAGTAGAGGAATTCATGATATCTGTATGCCTCTCTCTGTCTAGTGAGGTTATAACCTTCAGGTTTTGAGCTGCTGCCTGCCCTTCCAGCATTGGAAGAGCCCACCATAAGGATGTAACACTTGTTTTAAGACAAGTTTTCTGTGATATATGGATTGGTTTCTGACAAATATAAAAATCTTGGATACACTATGTAGTAACACATGTTCCCATTTCTCACTCAGAGATCCATGAAGGCTGTTTTTAATATTTGCAGCCATAATAACTACCTCTCTTCCCTTTCCAATAGATACAGTCAGCTGCAAATGCAGTGCACCGAGCACTGTGTCTGCTTGACTGCCACCATAATACCTTCCTGATCTGGATGCTGAGGTAAACTTTAGCACATGAAATAACCTCCAAAGGGAAGCTATCCTAATTTTATTTCATCTCACTTGATGTTTAAAAACAGACTGCATGCAAATACTTTCAATAATCTCACTCCCAAGTGGAGATAATGCTCAGTAGCAATTGCGGTGAAGAAACCCCCAGGGAATGCTTGGGTGCCACACTTGCGAGTAAAAGATCCCTCACAAAAGTTAAATTCATCACTCTTCACTTTTCAGTCAGGCCAGGCACCAGTCTCATGTGTTCCAGATGTTTTATAGCCCCTTGGCTGCTATGTATGACCTTTCTGTTTGATAGCTCCTTGTCCATAATCCAAAATCAACAAAAAAAAAGGCTGTTTAATGAGGGTCTTTCTCCCTTAAATACTGGAAGCAGCTTCAAACATGGTTTTAAAAATACATTTGTTTTTCTCTTTTGAAACCCTTTTTTAGTGAATCTTTGCAGTGGTTGATTCTGTCAGCAAAATAACGCATCAGTTTTTTAGATAGACTTTGGCTTTATAGCAAAATAGATAATCACGTGTGAATATCAAGCTATGGGTTATTGTCCCAGTTCAACAGAAATTTTGAGTCTGTCATGATGTGAGTGAACAGCAAGGGCCTCCTGTAAGGTTCTGCAGGACAGCACCTAAAATCCTTGGTGCGCTGTGCTCTAAATGTACCCTGGCCAACACTAAAAGTTATTGAGAAATTACATTTGAGGACTTCAACAACCACCACAACCCTGAGGGGCACAATGCTATTGTAGGTGCAGCAGATGGTTCCTTTTTTCAGGCATCTGCCGTGTAGCAGCCTCCCTGGGGATGTAATCACAGCAAGTGGCTGTCCAAAATGCTTTGGAAACCTTGTGGCTGATGGCAGTAGTCTGTATTAGGTTCACTGTGCAGCTGTGGTTATTGCAATGCTTTGATTTCACAGAGATTAAATGGGAACAAGGTGCCAGCCCACCAGTTTCACATCCTTCATTCTTCATCCTTCCACTGCAACTCATGGGCAGGCACATGCACTGCCTGCCTCTATCCAAAAGATGCATGAGAACATGGTGTTAGGCAGAAGAAGGAGCATATTCCTCTCTCCTTTTCACTCCTGTAGCTCACTGCACATGTTCCAATCCTCCCGTTACCTTCAAGGCTGGCTCAGTGCACTGGTGAGCAGCCTGACCCTGGGACACAGTCAGATGGTGGCTCTGTGCTTGCAGCAGCAGGACACAAGGAACATTTAGGCTGGAAGGGATACAGATGTTGATGTTTGTCTGGAGGAAAAACTGCCAGGTTTACAGGCTCTGAAAGAAAATAAACTGAAGTGTTTTGAATGGCAAGATGTTTGGTTGTAAGCAACCATCGAAAACCATTCACAAACATTTGAACAGCATGTATGGCCCACCTTCCTTTGCTTCAACTGGGGCATCATCTGGGTCATTTGGCATTTCAGATGTGACCCCAATAAGTTTTTGGCAAGCAGTTTGATAGTTATATAGAAAAGAGTTTCAGAGATGTATAGTTTGATGTTTATGCCAAAAAAAAAAAAATCTAATTAGTCAATTTCACATTGAGTGGCAAATAGAGATATATTTTGTTTAATCACTATCTAATACAGAGGCTTCTGTGAAAGAAAAGGTTTATTTGTAGCTTTGGATGCATTTCTCCTTTTTAAAGACTGTCTTTGCGCATATAGTGTCCTTTTTTTGTGAGCTGGGAATTGTAAAAAAATGTAAAGTAGAAGAGGACGTGTTTCTTAGACAAAGGAGAAATACTGTAAAATTGTGTAAATGTCACTACTCATGTTTTTCCATGTTCTGTGTAGCATAGTGTAAAATAGGCTCTCCAGCAGTGTTATTCTGTGAATTGTAATTTAAAAAACAAGCCATGCATGGTCAGAGATATTATCTACAGGTCCTTTTGGTTGAGTTTTTGGTTTTGCTTGTTATTTTCTCATTTTAGGTGAATTCATTCTATGTTAAATTTAATTGTCCATGAAAATGCATTTTTGTTTCTGTTCTATTTCATAAAGAACTTGAATTACTCTTTTAAGATTTTATTACACGTGAAGCTCACCTACCGTTTGTATCGATCCTTCAGAAGCTGTGTCACATTTAGTATAAACTAGGGGGGATTTTAATTTTATCTGCCTCTTCTCCCCCACTCTTCCCACTTTACTGTCTGGAAAGATCCAATCACACCCTATTTTTTTTTTTCTGTGCCATGCAGGGTCAATATGGAAAACTGACCACAGACCAGTGTCCAAAAGTTCTTGATATAAGTAGTTAAAAAGCTCACCTCTGCAGCATTATGTAAACACATCTTGCAATAAAGCTTTATAAAGCACTGACTGGGCTGGTTCTTGTTTTGTGATGAAGCCAATCTTGAGAGCTTGGGTGGAAAATGGATGGGAAAGGGGATCATGAATTATTTTTCTCATTCCTCTATGTACCTACAATGCCATCATGTGGACGTCAAAACAGCTGCCAGTAAGACACCTGGGAGATCTGATGATGAAAAACTGATCTTTTACACCTGCTTCCACTTTCCATTTTCACTTTTTTCACTTAAGATTAGGAATTAGTTTGAGCATAATTCCTAATCTTGAATGAAGAAAGTGAAAATGTGTCTCTGGTTCTCCAGGCCTTCGGTGCTCCAGCTCTACAAATCCTCACTTAAACATACATGGCACTGCCATCAGCTTGGGGTTGGTTCCTGCCTAAAAAATACTCTGTGCACAGAGCTCACAGCATACAGGTATGAGATTTACAGAAGCAAACATCAATAAGATAAAAGATAACCTCTGTGTGGGGAAGCTTTTCACATTGCCTCTGCATCAAGACATGAAGCTCTGTCCCTGCCAGAGCTTCAGAGCTCTGAAGGTGGCTTGTAAACAAGACTTGCCTTCAACTTGGCTGAAATACTTTTCATGCATCATCATGGGATGTATTTTTCTGGTGGCTGCCTATGACCTTGCCTGGAGAGGCAGTGGTCTTACAGTTTTCTCTCTTTGTTGGTCTCTGATGCTTTCTTCTACTGCTATTTCCCAGCATTTGAGAGAGGCTGAGTTGATAAACGTGGCATCCCTGCCCCTACAGAAGTTGAGCTGAGCTCTGCCCATGGGTTCAATGATTGTGGTGACAAGGGAGTCCAAGTGACATGTAGGAATTCAAAATGCTCAGGCTTCCACTACTAGTCCTGAGAGAAAGCTGCTCACAATTGCTCTTTTGAATTGCACATGTAATGAGGTCAAAATATATTATTCAAAGACAGCTGCACATGTTCATAGCGGCGCCCTGGAAAATAAAGTGGGTTGACAGAGAGTCTGAGAGAATTTTCACCTGTGGTTTCTGAGATTGTAGGGGCTGATATACAAGGCTAGGTATGTAAACCTTCCTCCTCTTTAATTAGTTTTTAAAGTTATTTCAAATGAAGGTGCTTTTTGGGATATGGCTGCATCCCTGAGAGAGCTGCTTAGCATTCCAGATACACTGGTGTAAAGTCTAGAGGATGGAAGGCTACTAGCCAGAAATGTGGTAATGCTTTTTAAAATAAATATATAAACCAAGTTTATTGGCCAGACACTTTTCTTTTCTATCACAGCAAATCCATTAGCAGTTCTAAATTCCAGATGTGCTGTGACAATGCGTACATATATTTTTCAGACCTGGTGCCCAGTCAGAACTCATTTGTTGTCACAGAGAAGCCTCTGGCCTGTAGTCAGGGAATGAGTAAGTATGCAGATTATCCATTGCAAAGCTGCATGCCCTGGTTTATAAACCCTTGAAAACAGTTTGAGAACACACAACTAAAGAAAAAAAAAAGACAAACTTTTTTCCTATTATAACTTCTCCAAGTTTTCTGATGGGAATGCAGTTTGGAAAAGGGAGAGGACTGTTCTCAAAGCTTCACCTCCTGCAAGTTTCTTTGCAGGAAATGAAGAATGATGCCTGTATTGGCATCGCTCTGATGAGACGGACCTCTGCTGGGAAATCCCAAAAGGAACACAGCTTACCTGAAGTGTCATGTCAGTGAGGGCCTCTCCACAGCTTTTACTGAGTGAATTTTGAGTAGGAGCAGGACTCATCCATTTGAAGAGGTATGCTGCTCAAAAATACCGATTCTCAGTTTCCAGGACTCAGAGTCCAGTTCTCTGCAACACCAACCTCTCTCCCACTGCTACACCAAGCTTGCTCTCTTGTTTGAGCCAATTCCAGAGCCTGTAATTTGTTATGTAGCTGCAAAACAGTATGGAGCATAGACGTGGGGAGGGTGAGACTCGTTCTGTGTCCCAGAACACATCCCTGGGCATATCCTGCTTTGTTACTGGTGTTATAATGAGCAGAAATGTTTTAAGCATATGCCAAAATCATGCAAACAAGTTTGTAGCTCTCTTGGTGAGTGTTCAGATCTTTCTGCCTACAAAACAGACAAAATGACTAGTCTTGACTTCTGCACGTACTCTCCATTCCCTCTTCCATCCTTAATACAAGAAGAACAGCAGTTAACAAGCAGCAAAGGAAATTACCTGTGAGTGAAATCCACAGCACTTAAAACTGGACAAACTTGAAGGCAAAGGTGAGTCAAAGCCATGTCATAGCCTCCAGTAAACATTCTACTCATTCCATCTGAAGGTAGCATTAGCCAAGCCTATCTTGGAAGAGCTCTGTATTTGCTTTACAGCAGTGGTTTCACATCTTATTCCTGGTACAGGGAGCACAAAGCTCTGCCAGAGCCTGGCAGGGCTCAGGTGAGGAGCCAGCAGATGACAAAGGGTCTGGAATAGATCCACCTCTGGAGTATATCCGCCATGGTAAAAGTATGCACCATGACTGCCTGTTGGATGTAAATATGTCTACTATGGACCTTGGAGTAACCTGTGAAAACACATTTCTCACAGAAATTGGAAAGCTACAGTCAGGTAAAATTCTCCTTTCTAATAAAGCAATGAAATACTGAGACTCTTGAACAAGATCTCAAAAAAATGAATCCTCCTTCCATCATTGTCCAGGCTTCCTATAAATATGCACTGGAAGGCTTAAATAATTTTGGCAAGATATAGCAAAGGAAAATTATTGTTAAAAAAGAGGCCCTGGATATTGTTTCAACAAACTTTTTCCTCACATAAACTTACGGAAAATTATTGACCTCATAGTAAAGTCAAGAAAGAAAGAAACTCTTCTTGTAAAATGGCAAGATACCTATTTGAATGTGGACTAGACTGCCTTCACATAGGTCTGTCTGGAAGACCTCCCAGATGTACTGCATTAATTATGGAGAGCAATGGCTGCACAGGTTAACAAAAAAAAATCTAAATAATCCCCGTAACAACAGTTCTGACCTAAATAAAACTAGCTGTGAGTGTAATGATAAAGTATATTGGAAATCAGGCAGTAGTGACCAAAGCAAAATGAAAATTTGATGATATTGGCTCTCTGAGCAGTGGAAAGAGCCTGATCGACATCAGCAAGCCTGAATCAAGCCCCTAAAGATAACTATTAGAATGTTAAACTAGATGGAAAATGGAATTTCTTCTCTGGCATAAAAGGGCCCTAAATCATTTCAACCTCACCAGTTGCACTGGGGAGTTCTCTTTCAAGAATGGACAGTACACCATAGTCTGAAAAGAGAGTGAATCCTTGTTTCCAGAGAAACTATCTCAAATGTGTTCAGATTAAAAGCATGTGGGACCAAACACAGTTAGCATCCAAAATTAAATGATCTGTAAATTCTACATATTTCTAGAAGCCAAAACACTACAAAATCTGAAAACAAAACAACCTGAAGCAACCAGTTGTTTATTTTTGTTTGTTTTTGTTTTTGTTTTTGTTTTTGTTTTTGTTTTTTTTAATACTATGGAATGTGACAACCATTAAATTTCCTCACAGGACAACAAAATTTCAGTAGAAACTCTATTACTGTTACAAAATTTTTGCTATTTCTTTACAGAAAGACCGTTTAATAGAAAATAACAAGTTTAAGGCTGGTCTTAAGAACTCTAAGAAGTTTCTTGCCAACTAATTTTGCTTAATGTAAATAGTTACTTCTCCAAATCTGCATCCTCCATGAAAAGCTAACTTCCACCATCTTTAGGTTTTCTTACTTTTCTATGATAGGAATGACTTAGATGGCACACATAATGAAGAGCAAATAGCTTATTATTCGATAATATCCTATCAATTTTTCTAGAGGTAATCAGGGTCTTCATAAAGTTGTAAATACTTGATATTAGTTAATATGAGACTGGACCTTACATTATGGTATGTAACAGATAAATATCCATATTTTCAAATATCTCTCAACAGCATTATATAATTTACCATTCCCTCTCTCCCTGCCTGTTCCCTGCCCGTTCCCTGCCCATTCCCTGCCCATTCCCTTCCCGCTCCCTGCCCATTCCCTGCCTCTGTCACACCACAAGGGAATTTTTGAATATGCAAGTGGGTTCTATAATCTGGTAACATCTTACTTTGACTTCAGAACATATTTTTTCAAGGTGGGTAGAAAATGAATGGTGGTTATATGCACGGTTTAACTTTGGAGATTATTTACTGGTAAAGGGGATTGACACTATTAGAAAGTCGCAGGATTTACTGCTCTTTCTATCTTTCAGAGCATGGCTCTCCAAACAACAAGGCGGGAGTTCTAATGCACAGGGATATGAATTTCCTGAAGAATGGTCAGCACCTATCCTTACACATCCTTAGTGTTCCCTTCTACAGTCACAACTTCTTATGTGTTTAGACATCAGAAGCTCACACAGTCCCAGTAAAGGGGAACACTAAGGCACATATGAAAATTCAGACTCCATCAAAGAGCACTCCCTACAGCAGAAAGAACACTGGGAAAGAAGGCATTTGGATTCCCAAATGGAAATCCCAAATCGACAATATAAGGTAAAAATAAACAAAGGAAGGCCTTAATGGCAAGGACAAGATTCTTATTTTGATATACAGGCAAACCCGAGAAAGAAAAGTGCAGAGATCATTTTAGCAGCAACTCTTCAAGCATTGGACTAAATGAAGCCCAAGTGCAGCAGTGAGTTGGATGGCTGGGAAGGGCACATTTAGCTTAATATGCAAAGTGGAAAGGCTTACTTGTAGAGAAGTATTGTATTAAATTACATGAAAAGAAAAGGGGGATTGATTATGACCTCTGTCACTATAAGGAAGGAGGGACGGTTTGTATTTACAGAGAGAAGATAAGAAAGGGAACATCACACAGACTGTTAAGTGGATTTGCCTTAAGCAGACTATCGAATCTGTTTTAAGAATTTGACAATTTCCAAGGCTTCTTTTTTGAGGAGAGAAAAAATGTAAGGGCAACATAAATGAGGTATAGCTCAT